AATTGAGACAGGGTCTCGCTCTGTTGCCCAGGCTGGAGTGCAGTGGTGTGATTTTGGCTCACTGCAGCCTCCCAGGCTTAAACAATATTCCTACCTCAGCCTCCCCAGTAGCTGGGACTGCAGGTGTGCGCCACCAAGCCCAGCTATTTTGTTTATTTGTTTGTTTTTGTAGAGCTGAGATTGCGTCAAGTTGCCCAAGCCGAGCTCCCAGGCTCAGGCAATGCACCCTACCTCAGCTTCCCAAAGTGGTGGGATTACAGGTGTGAGCCACCGCACCTGGCTAGGATTTCTTTCTTTTTAGTGAACAAATACCGAATCGGTTTTAAAACAGAAACAAAAAGCAGTATACAATTTTGAAAGGAAGCAACTCAAGGATCATCTTTTGTCATCAACGACACAAACCAGAAGAGCAGTGCTGTTAAAAAACGACTCCACATGCTGCTGGAATGTATGGAAAAGGCCGCCCTGCCGTCAGGAAGACGGGCCACGAGGCCCTGCCTGAGGCTCAGAGGTGAGTTTTTAGGCCGTTATGGTGACTGCAGTTCACAAAGAATGTAAAGACGCTGATTCGTCCAGAGAGCAGCATAAACAAGGCTATTTAGGGATGGTAAAACTTGGATGCTATGCTGAAAAGAACTGAGATGTTTTTCCCCACACAGAAAAAAATTCAGCCTTCTTTTATATAAAATATGGGACTCTGGCCCAGTGCAATGGCTCACGCCTGCAATCCCAGCACTTTGGGAGGCCTAGGCAGGCGGATCACTTGAGGTCAGGAGATAGAGACCAGCCTGGCCAACTTGGTGAAACCCTGTCTCTACTAAAAAATACAAAAATTAGCTGGGTGTGGTAGCGCACACCAGTAATCCCAGCTACTGAGGAGGCTGAGGCAGGAGAATTACTTGAACCTGGGAGGTGGAGGTCGCAGTGAGCCGAGATCATGCCACTGCACTCCAGCCTGGGCGACAGAGCGAGACTCAAAAAAGAGAAAATACGGGACTATGTCAGGAATATGCCACAACATGATTAACTGTATCATGAAAATACCAGTTAAACGCTCTTTGAGACTCAGAAGAAGGAAAACTTAGCATAAACTGGCTGCTCCTTATTTATACCCTAGCCTTCATGCTAACTTTTCCTTCTTCTGAGTCTCAAAGAGGGTTTAATTGGCATGTTCACGCAGGGATCCTGTCTCATGCAGGGACCCTGCTCAACTCCCAAGGAACTATGGATAAAATTCAGGAAGTTTATAAATTGATGTGGGGAAAAACTTGTTCCTTTACTAACCTGTAATTGGAATTTAGCATCTCCCACAATTCTGAATGTAAGCAATGAACTCCGATAGAATTAGCAGTACTTGTGACTTTATCACTAACAAAAGTGATAAATAGGCCGGGCATGGTGGCTCGCCCCTGTAATGCCAGCACTTTGGGAGGCTGAGACAGGCGGATCACGAGGTCAGGAGTTCAAGATCAGCCTGGCCAATATAGTGAAATCCTGTCTCTACTAAAAATACAAGAATTAGCTGGGCGTGGTGGTGCTCACCTGTAGTCCCAGCTACTCCGGAGGCTGAGGCAGGAGAATCACTTGAACTTGGGAGGAAGAGGTTGAGATCACGCCACTGCTCTCCAGCCTGGGCGACAGAGCAAGATTTCATCTCAAAAAAAAAAAAAAAGAAAGAAAAAAGCCATGGTTTCAAATTATATTACTGTTGCTATGGAGATAAATTTATCCTCAGTTATAAAATGCATTACTTAGTTTGTTTCTTGCAATTACAGACTAACAGAGATTGGATTGATCCTCCCACCTTTAACAACTAAAAATCCAGATGTCATTGATGAAACTGTTTTTCAGCCATTAGACAACAGGTAGCACAGGACAGTGATAGAGAAGGGAAACAAACCAGCTGAGCCCAATGACTGCTTGCTGCCCAGAGAGTGCCCAGGCCGCTGTAGAGTGAGGCCAGTCCAGGTGGGCCTGCCGGTCTGTCTGCGCTGAGTGGACAGAGTTGTTGAAGGAGGCCCAGCAGCTAGAATTTGCAGGGCAGCACTGAAAAGGAGAGAGCTGCTCAGCCAGGCCCGGAGATGCGCAGAGGGCTCTCGGGGAGCCTGCAGCAGAGTCATCATCAGCATGTGCCTGTGAAGAAACTACCTGAGGCTGGGAAAGAACCAGAGGAGGCTGGGCATGGTGGCCTATAATCTCAGCACTTTGAAAGGCCAAGGCAGGCAGATCACCTGAGGTCGGGAGTTCAAGACCAGCCTGGCCAACATGGTAAAACCCCACCTTTACTAAAAATACAAAAATTAGCTGGGCATGTTGGCACACGTCTATAATCTTAGCTACTTGGGAGGCTGAGGCAAGAGAATCTCTTGAACCTGGGAGGTGGAGGCTGAGGGGGCCAAGATCGTACCACTGTTCTCCAGCCTGGGCCACACAGTGAGACGCTGTCTCAAGAACCACAGAGGAGGAGAGGTAACAAAATCTGGAGCTCACACAGACCCAAGAATAGTTCCTTGTTTCACCAACCTAGAGTAGAAAGCCTCATAATTGATAAGGCATCAGGTAGAGTGGAAAACTGGCCCTAGACTAAAGGATGCTCTCGTACTGCTTAACAATGCTTAAAGATACGCCTTCAGGCTGGACATGGTGGCTCACGCCTGTAATCCCAGCACATTGGGAGACCAAGGCGAGCGGATCACCTAAGGTTGGGAGTTCAAGACCAGCCCAACCAACAAGGAGAAACCCCATCTCTACTAAAAATACAAAATTAGCCAGGTGTGGTGTCACATGCTTGTGATCCCAGCTACTTGGAAGGCTGAGGCAGGAGAATGGCTTGAACCTGGGAGGCGGAAGTTGCAGTGAGCCGAGATTGCGCCATTTCACTCCAGTTCAGACAACAAGAGCAAAACTCTGTCTCAAAAAAAAAAAAAAAAATGCCTCCAAAGCAGGGTTAGCAGAACTATATGTGAAGAGCCAGAGAGTGAATATTCTCAGCTTTCCAGGACATACAGTCTCTGCTGCAGCAACTCGACCCCTGCCCTTGTAGCATGAAATGACGACAATATGTAAATGCATGAGGGGCTATGTTCCATAAAAAGTTATTTGTAGACTGAATACTTAATTTCATTTTCACCTTCTACAAAATATTATTCTTTTGATACTTTCAACCACTTAAAAATGCAAAAAGCATTTTTACCTGATGAGCCATCCACTTGGCCTATGGGTTATAGCTTGCTGACTTTTTTTTTTTTTTTTTTTGAGATGGAATCTCACTCTGTTGTGCAGGCTGGACTGCAGTGGTGTGATCTCAGCCCACTGCAACCTCCGCCTCCCGGGTTCAAGCCATTCTCCTGCCTCAGTCTCCCAAGTAGCTAGTAGCTGGGACTACAGGCACCCACTTTTTTGTATGTTTAGTAGAGATGGGGTTTCACCATGTTGGCCAGGCTGGTCTCAAACTCCTGACTTCAGGTGATCCTCCCAGCTCAGCCTCCCAAAGTGCTGGGATTACAGGCGTGAGCCACCTCACTTGGCCCACTTTCTGATCTTTGATCAAGAAGACTGAATTGTTTCTCATTAGCTGTATACCAGAGCAAGGCTCAAAAATATTTAAAAGAATACAAAATAAATAAACAAATCCAGCACCCAACAATGTCAAATTCACAATGTCTGACATCTAATCAAAGAATTCCAGTTATGTGCTGGAAGCAGTGACTCACGCCTATAGTCCCAGTGCTTTGTGATGGCTTGAGCCAAGGAGTTTGAGGCTGCAGTTACCTATGATCATTTCACTGCACGCTAAACACTGCACTTTAAACACTGCACTTGTGTTTAAAAAGATCACAAGTTCTTGCAGCTAGCATCTGACTTCTGATATCTAAGACAAGTAATGGGTAACAGAGCAAAACCCTGTCTCTAAAAAAATAGTAAACTGGCCGGGCATGGTGGCTCATGCCTGTAATCCCAGCACTTTGGGAGGCTGAGGCGGGTGGATCACCTGAGGTCAGGAGTTCGACAGCAGCCTGACCAACATGGAGAAACCCCAGCTCTACTGAAAATACAAAATTAGCCGGGCGTGGTGGTGCATGCCTGTAATCCCAGCTACTCAGGAGGCTGAGGCAGGAGAATCACTAGAACCTGGGAGACAGAGGTTGTAGTGGGCCAGTGAGTGATGGGCCAGGAGGACTGGAACCAGAACCCACCCCTGCCCCTGCCAAAACAGCCCCACTAAGCCAGGCAGATCAAGTTCTAGGTCAGACCGTGGAGCCAGTGCGGGAAGTCCTTAGCGGTTCTGATCCTCTCAGACGAGTCCCCAGGTTCTTCTAACACATGGGCGTAATTCTTTTTTCTTAAAGTGAATTTATATCAGGGGGTCTCAGTCCATTTTCTGCTACTCTAACAGAATACCACAGGTTAGGTGATTTATAAAGAAAAGAAATGTATTTAACACACAGTTCTGGAGGTTGGGAAATCAGAGTACAGTGTCAGTGTCTGGTGAGGGCCTTCGTGCCCCAGTATAAAGTCATGAAGGAGGACATCACTTGGCCAGAGGGCAAGAGTATTTCAGCTGAAGTCTCTCTCTTCTTATAAAGCCACGAGTTCCATCATAGGCACCCCACTCTGATGATCTTATCTGGTCCTAATGACCTCCCAAAGGCCCCACCTTCAAATAACATAAACACATGAATTTGGGGATCAAGTTTCCCACACATGAAATTTGGAAGACACACTCAAACCACAGCACACGGGTACTCTAGGAGGCGCAGTGGTGGTGGGGAATTAAAGCACAGGGAGAGGATGTCTCCACTCTTGGCCCTGCCTTCACTCCTCACAGCCTGTCTTCAAAGGATTCCTCAGGCGTGTTTCTTAATTCCGTTGATAAGCAGAAAGGGTGGGGTCTTGGGAGGCTGTATTTGTTTTCAACAGCACCTCACAAAAAGCCACACTGTTTAAAAAGATCACAAGTTCTTGCAGCTAGCATCTGACTTCTGATATCTAAGACAAGTAATGGGAAATTTTCCCCCACTACCCTTCAACAAGAGGAGAGAGAAGATCCTACAGAATTGAAATGATTCTTTGGTTAGATGTAGGAGTAATACTGTGAAAAAACAATTCTGGGGTGGTTGGAATACAACATGCAAAAATATTCAATCTTCAGAAGCAGAGGGTCAAGCTGCAGCACCCAAGGGTGTGTGGGCGGCGGTGGTGAGAGAGATGAATACCAGAAAAGTCTATTGAGACCATCCTGCCCCAACTCGCCTGCCTTAAAACAAAACCCCCCATGCATCTCATGGAGATTGGTTAGATGAACAAACAAACACCATCTAAAAAGAAGACGCTATCCTTGGAAAAAGTTCCTCTCCCTCCTTCCACCTGTCTGTCTGTCCCTCCCACCAGCCATGGGTCAGTCCCACCACAGTCCTAGTTCTGTGCTAGACACTGAGCTTAAAGATGACCAAGACCTGGGGTTGGGTCATGGTGGCTCATATCTGTAATCCCAGCACTTTGGGAGGCCGAGGTGGGTGAATCACGAGGTCAGGAGTTCGAGACCGAGACCAGCCTGGCCAAGAGACAAGTCTCACCAATATGGTGAAACCCCATCTCTACTAAAAATATAAAAACTAGCCAGGCGAGATGGTGGGTGCCTGTAATCCCAGCTACTTGGGAGGCTGAGACAGGAGAATTGCTTGAACCAGGGAGGCAGAGGTTGCAGTGAGCGGAGATCGCGACACTGAACTCCAGCCTGGGTGACAGAGTGAGACTCTCACTGAAAAAAAAAAAAAAAAAGATGACCAAGATCGATATCCCACCCTGAAAGGACGACTTCTCACTAGTCAAGGACAAAAAATAACAAAGCTTATTATCAGAGCAATGCATGAGTGCATGAGGGACATGTCATTTGAAGCAGTTTTGCCCTCCTTAGAGCTGCCTTGCACTTTATTTCATATTCTCCTACTGCACTGGGTACTTTCTACTTTGTGAGTTATTGTAGGCGTCTCATCTGCCTCCTTGGCTGTGTTCTCCTCAGGATGGAGTCCACGTCTGAGTCATGTTTCTCCCCTACGCATCAGGGTTTCTCCAAGTGAGGTCCAAGCTTGCCTTTATCAGTCGACCGGAAGAGCTGGTTAACATGCATATGCCTGGCCAGGGCGGTGACTCATGCCTGTAATCCCAGCACTTTGGGAGGCCAAAGCGGGTGGATCACCTGTGGCTCGGAGTTCAAGACCAGCCTGGCCAATTTGGTGAAACACCGTTTCCACTAAAAATACAAAAATTAGCCAGGTGTGGTGGCAGGCGCCTGTAATTCCAGCTACTCGGGAGGTTGAGGTAGGAGAATGACTTGAACCCAGGAGGCGGAGGTTGCAGTGAGCCGAGATCGAGCCATTGCACTCCAGCCTGGGTGACAGAGCCAGATGCTGTCTCAAAAAATAAAATTTTAAAAATGCATATTCCCAGGCCCACCCTAGACTGACCTTACACTGACCAGGCTGGCTGGGTCAGAATCCTGGGAGGAATTCTGCATTTTAACAAGCTTCCCAGGTGATTCTGTTGTAGGACTCTCTCCTTAGTTCAGCTAAGAACTGGGTCCTTGTCACACGGCGACGAAAAATTAGGATCATAGACAATTTGAAGGGTGAGAATGATAGAATTCATTGGGCAAAAAGGAAAAAAAGGGAAAGAGGGACCCTCCACAAAGCCAGGGTCCTGCTAGTGTGTTTCCTGCCTGGCAGGTGGAAGCCCAGGTTCCACCCAGGAAAAGGCGAGGCCAGGCTTCTCCCAACTGTACATGGCATGAACTTCCGTGGCTCCGCCCCAGTGCGCATTCCTTCCAGGGAGCCAGCGGGTTGGAGTTTCTCTGGAGACTCCTTCCTGCCTAGCTGTCTCAATTCTAATTCATGCCCATACGAGGACTCTGTACCTGATGCACCTCACATGTAAGGGAAAAACCCAAATGAATTAATGTTTGATTCATAAGGCCAAACAGAAAAACATATATTCACACTATCGTTTTAGCTATTTAAAACGCCACATTCTTTTTCTTTTTTTTTTTGAGATGGAGTCTCCCTCTGTCACCAGGCTGGAGTGCAGTGGCGCGATCTCGGCTCACTGCAACCTCCACCTCCCAGGGTTCAAGCAGTTCTCCTGCCTCAGCCTTCCGAGTAGCTGGGACTACAGGCGTGCACCACCACGCCCAGCTAATTTTTATATTTTTTTTTAGTAGAGACGGAGTTTCATCATGTTTACCAGGATAGTCTCCATCTCTTGACCTCTTGATCCACCCACCTCATCCTCCCAAAGTGCTGAGATTACAGGCGTGAGCCACCACGCTCAGCCTAACACACCATATTCTTAAGCAAAAAGCTCAAAAAAGACCATAGATGCACTTTGTACAAAAATGTACAGAGTTGTACTTCTTTTTCTTTTCTTTTTAACATTCTATCTCTATATCCAAGGGCCCACTACGTGGTATAGTCTTGATTATAACAAACCAACACCCAAAAAAACCTCTCATTCCAACCAATCTAGATTTCATGTGTCGGAAGCTTGGAAATGGGCTAACGCTGTTTCAGAGAGAGAGATCTCTACCATCTGCTCAGCTAGAGCAAGGCTCAGTTGATATTTTTGGCATGGATTCTCCAAGAAAGCAACGTTTCCCAAACTCCAAATGTTCTAATTTCCCCATCAGTTTCACCATATCCACCTGTGGCCTGTACTGTTATTTGCTGAATTTTTTCTAATTCAGCCTTCTCCTAAATAATAAAATCATGAGTTTGATATGCTAAGTATATCCTTAAATACATTGAAATCAATATGTAACATTAAATGAAAATAAACGAGTGGTTTTTTTTGTTTGGTTTTGTTTTGTTTGTTTTGAGACAAAATTGTTTTGAAACAACTTCGTTGCCCAGGCAGGAGTGCAGTGGTGCCACCTTAGCTCACTGCAACCTCTGCTTCCTGGGCTCAAACTGTCTTCCCACCTCAGCCCTCCTGAGTAGCTGGGACTACAGATGCGCACCATCACGCCAGCTAATTTTTGTATTTTTTTGTACAGATGAGGTTTCTTTCACCGTGTAAGCCAGACTGGTTTTGAACTCAGAGCTCAAGAGATCCACCTGCCTTGGCCTCCCAAAGTGCTGGGATTACAGACGTAAGCCACTGCACCTGGCTGAAACTGGTGTCCTTGTGTTCTTGTTCTTTTTCTTTCTTCTTTCTTTCTTTCTTTTTTTTTTTTTTTTGAGGCAGAGTTTCGCTCTTGTCAGGGCTGGAGTGCAATGACGCGATCTCGGCTCACTGCAACCTCTGCTTCCCAGGTTCAAGCGATTCTCCTGCCTCAGCCTCCTGAGTAGCTGGGATTACAGGCATGTGCCACAATGCCTGGCTAATTTTGCATTTTTAATAGAGGGGGGGGTTTCTCCATATTGATCAGGTGGGTCTCGAACTCCTGACCTCAGGTGATCCTCCCACCTCGGCCTCTCAAAGTGCTAGGATTACAGGCGTGAGCCACAGTGCCCAGCCAAAACTGGGGTTCTTAAAGCTCTACAGCATCCTAGGTGACCCTTTGGGAGGCTGCTGCTGGAGCAGGAGGGGGCCCCTGGTCGGAGCCCAAAGCCTTCCTACACTCTCTAGTGTTCTAAGTTTCCTCCACACTGCCCAGCATTGAAATGAAGTTCCAGGAGAGCATGGCAACACCAACATGAAGCTTCGGCTATTAGTCATCCAGGCATACCCACCCGCCCACTGGGGTTGGGATTTCAGCATGGACTGTCAGAAAGGACAGCGCCCGAGCAGCAGTGCTGACTAGCAGATCTGAGTTTCACAGGAGAAGTGTGAGCTGGGGCCCAGGCTTCCCGGGCCTCTGCTGCCATCCCAGGTCACACCCACACAGCTCAGCCAGGCGTTCCCGCTGCTCCCACGAGCCACCAAGCATGAGCTCCCCAGCATGTCCCCATCTGTCTCCTTGAAGCAGGTGACATCCCTGCCAGCCCTGGGAGTCTGAAGGAGAAGTCGACTCTTGGCCCGGGAGATTTGCATGCTACACATCTATTTTTCCTGTGGGTCTATCTCCCTTTGACGCCACGAATGTCCCGCATCCAGCCACGTGTCAGAGGTGGCTGTTTAATGCCAGCCAAAGAAAACAAGCTTCCCACTGCCCTGCGCTAAAGGTGAGGTGACAGCTGGCAGATGGTTAGTGACTCACTCCAGTGGACACCGACCCACAGATGCGTTTTGAGGGGCTGCCACTGAGGGCACGTGTCAAGCCGAGGAGGGGAACCCAGGCTTGGCTGGTCGGCGAACAACGAGGGATTGCAACAGCTCTTTAGCTAACCTCAGCTCTGCAGACACAGGCACTCAGGCGGTGAGGTTTAGGGAAGTCAAACACCCCCAGCGTTTTTTCCAGAACAGCTAGACATGGCAGAAGACCTGAGTTCCAATTTCACTCTCTTTCTTACCAGCTCTGTGACCTGAGGTGACTCACAGTAACTTCTCCGTGCCTCGGTGCCTTCACCTGTGAAAAGGAATGGCCCCTGGCTCTGCAGGGCCCTCAGGTCTGAGTCGAGTGCGCTCTCACCCCAGAGATGCTGAACCTTTGGGCAGCATTCCTTCCTTGGCAGGCAGGAATCAAGCACGCAGGGGAGGGGGCTGTCTGACTGCAACCCCCCCCCCCCCCCACCGAGAGCCTGGGATGTAGCAGCCTCGGTTCCTGCTTCTGGGCAGTCACGGCCTATTTAAATGCATGTGAATGCATGAAGATTAAATAACAAAAAGCACCAAGCAGTCTCAGAATGAATTCACTTGCGGGTGGCTGGGGGTAGAGAGGGACCAGGATGGAAGGTGGTGGGGTAGTTAATTTTTTCTTTTTTTTTTATCCTTTTTTTTTTTTTTT